ATTAAGGCAATTTTCTGAACGCCGGAAAATAAAATAATAGCCGGCCCATTAGCGGCCCCCGCCTCAAAGACACCAGTCGCTAATCGTAGGAAATAAATTTGACGTTTCTCTCTCTCCCTGCTTTGAGATGAAGCTCGTTCCGGGTGATTTAACAGCGCCGACTCGGTAGGGGTAAGCTGGCGGTGCACTTGCGATTTGTCTGATAAAAAGTGCAAGGAAAAAACTTATTGTAAATCTCGTATTGTGAATGCTCAAAACTCGATTGTAACCCACGCATAGATTCAAGTTTAAATACTAATCAGGTTGAAAGTTAAGTCAAATGATAATGATAGAAAAAGGAGATATGATTAGAAATGAATAGTACCTACCTAATAATAGCTATAGCGCTTAACTGAGTCAGTGCCTGAGCTGAGGTAGGCATGGAAGCGGCACGGAGGGGTGGCATTGACATTATAGGTTATTACACATTAATAGGAGATTTGAAGTCTCGTCGACGTTTGACCGTCACAAAAACACCCTCCCGTACCGCACCCATACCTCAGTGACTCAAAGAATAAAAATGAAATACTTAGGTAGAATTCACTACTTAAGCACAGGGACTACTTAAGCATCGTGTTTATCGCACTTGTAGGTAATTGTCACTAGTAAGATTTACAAAATAATGTATGAATCTTCAAGGAACACTTCGATTTAACCGGTTTTCGCCCATTAAAATAATGCAAAACATCCTTTAACAATGGTGCCCCAATATTTTCGGACATGAGTTAATCTCAAGGACAGCTAAGAATTAACCATTTTTTAAACTTTTTTTTATCTCCATTTTGATTTAGTATTAGATGTTTTCAACTATCGGGACCAAAATTACCCATCTAAGTAGCAATACCTACAGTTCAAATTCAAACCGTGTGCGGCCGGCCTACTCCGCTTGAGGGAGGCGATAGGAAGCGATTACAACATTACCCGCCTCTTAATTACAAACAGAGTGGACATGGTACACTACATCACTACATGCTGCACAAGGGTTCTTTAGAAAACTCTTTTGAATTACCTACTCTATTCAAGTACATTGTATTTTGACTTAGAAGTTCGTTCGTTCGTTTCAGCATCCATTCACCTCCCGCGACCTTCACCAGATCATCGGTCCACCTAGTGGGAGGCCTGCCCACGCTACGTCTTCCGGCCCGTGGTCGCCACTCAAGAACTTTCCAGACTTGGAAGTAAGATAGTCAAATTCAAAGTCATAGTCAAAATTTCTTTCTTTGAGACACTAGCGGCCACCCGCGACTTCTTGCGCGTGTATCCCGTTTTATCCCCTTAGGTGTTGAATTTTGCAAAATCCCGTCTCAGTGACCACCACCTAAGTTCTAAAAGGAACCCCCATGCAAAATTTGAGACTCCTAGCACTTGTAGTTTCTGAGATTTCGTGATGAGTGAGTGAGTCGGTCAGTCAATCAGTCAGTGACCTTTCGCTTTTACAAATCTAGTCAAAAAGTAATATTTTTACCCTACCAGCTCTTCCAGACCAACATTTAACTGATAGTCAGCTCTGTGGCTAAGGATACCGGGTGAAACTCGCTTCCACCTTCAGCCTGATCATCACTTGCCATTAAGTAAGATGCAGGCCAAGAGCGTATTCTTTGTGGATATTTTATGGTACTTTTTTAGTTCTAAAGATAGAGTTGTATACTGACACCTCTTATACAAAATAGCATTCGAATCGATTTGGGCAAAAAAAAATTTGGAGCGAAGCGATTTCAGTAATTACAAATGTTATAATGATGAATTAGAAAGTCTTCCAGTGACTTGGCCCATGTTTAGCTTGGCCCACGGGCCAAGTCCCTGATTTGAATTTTTAAATAGTTGTTCTACCAGTGACATTCAATATTTTATTATTAAATCAAACACCAAATCAACAAAAATCTACTCTTTAATCTTAAAGGTGGGCCCAGTCACTGGAAGAAAAACTATTTAAAATTGGAACCAGCGACTTGGCCCGTGGACCAAGCTAAAAGTGGGCCAAGTCACTGGAAGACTCGAATTAGGTTACTGTAACTTTTAAGGAGAGCTGCTCTCCTAGTTGCAAAGGTATCAGTTTAATACCCCTATTTTAATATGGGTAGTTTAGGTTGGTACTACCTACATAAATAATGTTGGGGACGTAGCGTAGGTAGCTACCACAATATCGGAATGAAAACGAATTTCATTTTGTTTCAGTTTAACCCTAAAAAGTCAAGATCATTCTCAAAAATATTATTATCAACATTTACTTTTGAAACTCTCTAATCCGTAATTCCCGTTTATTAACTCAAAAAAATCTACCTGAGGTGACACCTTTTGTATTTAAATGGGATTAAGACTTATTTTCGAGAACACAATGTTTCATACTTATTTAAACAATAGTAAGGTATAGCCACGAGCTAAAACTTTAAATATTCATGAAAATAAAAGTATTGCGATGGCGTGGGAAAGTGGTAAAATTATATTACCTTTACATTTTTTATTTCAAGCTTTAAACAAGAACTTCAAAAAAGCTGTGAATCCAAACTAAAGAATCCACTTCTCCGTACTTGACTCATCATTTATACTAATGTTATAAATGCGAAAGTAACTCTGTCTGTCTGTGTCGCTTTCACGCCTAAACCATTGAACCGATTTTGATGAAATTAGACGAATAGAATTTTGATGAATAGTTTGAGTCCCGGGAAAGGACATAGGATAAAGTTTTTCTGTCACAGACAAAATTCCACGCGGGCGAAGCCGTGGTCGGAAAGCTGGTGTTAGGTGTATGGGAGAAAATATTTTTATGGCGGATGATTTTATTAATTTTACATAACCCACTGTAAAACTTCGACAAAGTTACTTTGTTACTTCTGTTATTTTAAAAAAGTACACCTACTTAATTTTAGCACAGAAACCCCATTTAGTTATGCAGTAGGTAACTCTAAATATTATTTTCATCTAAAAAAATCATAAATTACTCATAGTAAAAATAAAATTGCATTGGCAAAAACCATAAATCTATGGAAGAACCGCGTTTGAGAGCTTTTATAAAGTAGCAAATGACCAAAAAACATACACCTGATAGTTTTTCTATTAAAACGATAACATTGTCATTTCAACAATCCACCAATTACACTTTTTAAGTGTCACCCAAAGTATAATCCTTTAATCTTTGAACCAAGCTTAGATAATCTTAAAAGTTGTATGAATGAGTTGAGTGAGTCTACGGCGTCTACAGTCTGGTGTTTTTTTAACCGACTTTAAAAGAAAGATGTTTCCTAAAGTGCGTTAAGCATTTTGGGTCATTGTTATTGTGTATTGTAAAACAAGTTTTTTTTATAGAAAGTGGTTGGAACTTATGATTCACAAAATATCTGTACGAATGATTATTGTCACATATTTTAATCCTACTAATATTATAAATGCGAAAGCTTGGATGTCTGGATGGATGTTTGTTACTTTTTCACGCAAAAACTACGGAACGGATTTTGATGAAACTTTATAACCCAGAATAACATATAGGCTATACTTACTTAATTTATGACGATCTGTGACAAACTAAATTTCACGTGGGTGAAGCCGCGGGCAAAAACTAGCTGATAATAAACGTGAAGCTTTAGAATTTCCAAAGTTCACAAATCGTTTGTAATCAATTTAATCATGACGTCTATGGATGCTTTAAAGTGCTTTAAACGACAGTACATCAAGGAAAACTTTATGGCATCTTAGGTTATTTTAGTGGGTGTGAATTTGTTACAAAAATATAGTCTACTAGCTGTGCCCTGCGTTTAAAACGTAGCTTATATGTTAATCCAGGGTGTCAGCTCACTCCATACTAAATTTTATCAAAATCGCTCCAGTCGTTTAGACGTCAAGAAGTAACAAACATACATACAAACTTTCGCATTTATAATGTTATTGTGATACCACTGGAAGCTTTGCGTACTTCAAAGCTCTTTCAAACAATTACTTTTGTGCTTTAGTTTCAGATTTAGTATGCTTGCATTTACTGATACTTGCCTACTATAGAAAACTAATTCAGGTTTAGGCTACTATCATATCAGTTCCTACGATAGATCTATATTTAATTACCGATCACCTTAAACTATTTTGTGGTTAAACTGTGAGTTAAACTAATAAGTTTTGTGGGTTAACGACAATATGTTGTTAATGACGTCAATTTTATTGCATTCCGGATTTTCAATATTTTGCGGTTCCTAAAATAAGAAGCTGACGGCCGATGGGGCAGCAAGGTTCTGGAATGGAGGCCACGTACCGGAAAACGCAGCGTGGGACGTCCACCCACAAGGTGGACCGATGACCTGATAAAGGTAGCGGGAAGGCGCTGGATGCAGGCCGCTACCAACCGTGCGATGTGGAAGTCATTGGGGGAGGCCTATGTTCAGCAGTGGACGTCCTGTGGCTGAAATGATGATGATGATGAAAATAAGAAGTATTGAAGATTTTTTAGGTCTTTAATTAATTAACAATCTTAATTCTTGTAACTTTTATATTTCCTACTATTTTAAAAAGTCTAGGTTTTACAATTCCTACAATTATATACACTTAGGTACCTACCTAATGAATGTGTACAGTTGGTGAAGTAATCCAAATAATTAAATTCCCACGTTATTTTATTAATTAAGCTATCAAAAATTTGCATTAACCTTTTATAATGATTTTTATGAATTAAGCTACTTAATTTAATTAATTACCATTTAATTGGTTCAACGATTGAGTAATAATGAATAAAATCCATTAACTAATGATCATTAAATTAAATCATATCTATTTCCATAATAAAGTTGATTCTGAGACATTAAGTGATCTATTAAGTTACTTTTATTCATCAGCTTTCTATCAAAGTTAATTTGAATCGATGAAAGATGTTTTAAGTATTAAGACGAAACTAGAATTCGAAGAACTAATCATCCGTTCTCCACGAGTGGAGGCTTCCATCTAACAGCTCTCGTCATGTTCTCTCCATTCACAACCCCACCCTTTTTCCCAACCAATCAGAAAAGAGGGGTGCGGTTAGAGAGCGAGATAGACATATCATTTTACCAACAAGTTAGAAAGAGACAAGCATACCATGTACGTCGTTGTAACAGCCAGCAGGGCGGGCAGATATCATTTCTTACTTGTCAGTATGAATTCAAAAACGGCGTGAGCAACTCACAGTCAATTTGGGTTACAATTCGTGCGGATTTTCGGAGGTTTAACAATAAATAATTTAATTGTTTTATTGAACTTTATGGACATTGTTGAGGTGGTAATTGGATAGTGTTAGTTATACTTTGTTTTGTTTTAATTAGTGGTTGTTTAAATAAATTTTTGAACTGTTTTAATATGTCGGAGACAAGTCGCCGCGGAACTGCGTATACCATTGACAATATACTTGGACATACGGACCGACAATCAGGTATGTTTTATAGTGGTTTATTAACAATATTAATTGTTCGTAACTTAACCTTAACTTGACGGTGAACTAATTTTAAAGTCTTTTTCTGCTTGAATAAGTTTTTCATAATCAACGTGTCCTTAAAACAGTATTTAGTTTATTATGAGGTAGACAGACACTGATTTTGACAATGAAAACATCGCGTACCTACCTATTTACTACTTGACACTGAAGTACCTAAAGTTTTTTAATACGATACAAATACATACTATCAAAACCTATCTTAGTGTATAAATTCACAATATCCTTCAAACTTAGACAATGGCTGGAATTTTTTCCGAGATCGGTGGTTAAAAAAAATAAGAATGACTTTAATCATATAAAACCTGTATTTGGGTCGTGGCTAATTTACCTACCGTTGACTATCTACGAGAACGTTTATTTCGATGGCAAGTTTCGAAGCTTAGTTGGCGCCAAATCATTTAAAGACGTCTTGCCTCCGCAAAATTTATGCGAGATTTCTGGCAGCTTCTTGATGTGAGAGTAAAAATGTAAAGGAAAATAGTTATTCAACATTTATTTACTCGTAACTAAGCCTGATGTATGTAGCCTTTGTATTACTATTGACAAATTGAGAAAAAAAGCTTTATTTGTGCTTTTTAGTAACACACAGATTCATACACCATTCTATGTGTAGGGTTATTAGTTAGATCATTCGTTTCATCAACGGTTCAAATCAAAGATCAATTACCACTTTCTTAATAAAAAAAGTATTTTAGACATCAATTTGTATTTTGTATAAAATAAAAGTTTGTGAAATTGCTATAAAAAGACATTAATTTTGATTTTCTTGTGGCTTCATTAATTAAGAAGGTATTAATTAAAATCCGGTGGATAATTATACTCGTAATAGAAGTCACAACGAGGAAGCTCTTGGCCTGTATCTCACCTGATGGTAAGTGACGATCAGGTCGAAGGTGGAAGCGAGCTTCACCCGGAATCCTCAACCACGGAGGAACTGGCTATCTTACCTCTAACTGCCGGAACACAATAATGCTGTTAACATTTATTATGGTAGTTTAAGAACTTCTAATAAAATAGGGGGGACTTCAAGGGGACTTGGCAAGTACCTACTTGATTATCACAAAATACCTTGCGGTAAGAAGGGTCTAAAGGAATTTCGTACATCGACAACGAAGTACCTTCGTTCGAAGCGACGGTACATCAAAGTAAATGTTCTGTTGTATGGCTTCTTATATAGTTGTAGGTGTTATTTTGCAACGAAAATGTAAGCTGAATATGTGAAATTGAATCTTTTGATATTGTTAAGTTAGTTATGAAGAATTTAGGTATTTTGTTTTCGTTGATATGAAACGCAGTGCAAACAAGAATCTAAAATGAGTCCCTCCTTACAATATAATAGTAACACCAATCGAAATCCTACGTTCCAATTTCAATAATGCAAAAATATTTAGTTTCCCGCAATAAAATGTTTGCTAAAATAATTTTATAACTCGTTTAATAAGTGAATTTCATATAACATTTAAACAATTTTTCACGCATTTATATTATACATTGCTATTTAATGTATAACGTATACGTAGCGTATAAAAGTCGTAGTCATGCCGTAGACGTAACGCTACGAGCTACGAGGCTACGGGTATCTACGGTGTCTACGGTTATCCGCACGAACTAAAGACATCAATGCTTACTTACTGCGTGCTTACGCTCTGCCCTTGGAGCGTAAAGCTTTGAATAACAATTAATATTGAATTGAAATATAAGATTTTAAACTTTCGCGTTCCATTTCAACTAAAATAGAGAAACACTGTATTCAACGTCTACCCGTGAGTACATAATATAGCTAACTTATTATTATTCTATGATGTAACTCATATAACAGGCAGACGTGTTCGAGACAGGGCACCGACGAGATGGTCGGACGCGGTGAGGAAGACGGTGGGCGGGGGTTTGCATCGTGCGGTCCACACAGCTTATGACCGCAGTCTGTGGAGAAAACTGTGGTCGCGATCCTCATCAGTGAGGGACCGAGGAAGAAGAACTCATAATTAAAAATTTTCGCGTTGAGACTCGTGTTTCTCTTTTTAGTTTAAATAATATTGAATCTCAAGATTGGTATTGTGAGTGTGGAACTGTGGATTCATACTCGAGCGAGTTGCGTTTTAGAATAGGTATGGGCATAAAACCCGTATAATGTCACCACGTTCAAAACTGTTTAAAACGAATTCCTTTGGCCCATCATCTTGATTCTAATGCTAAATATTAGTGTGAATTGTAACTAAGTTTTCATTTCCAAAAATGGGTCTAATAAGTAGGATTCAATTTATTTATTCAAACTCAAAATTTTGAACCCAATGTTAGACTGTCAGATAATTACTTAAATAGCTTTAAGTTTGCTCTATGTACCAAATTGTATTTCAATAAACTTTAAATAAATAATAAAATCAATTGTGTAGTGAGGTCAACAGATTAATAAGTAAAGTGTACTGTGTACCTACTATAACAAATATTTTTAAAGTTTATTTTACTCGTCATAAAGATATTCTTGTTATTGTGGCAACAATCATCAAAATTGTACACAAACCGCGATGCAAATGAGTTTGCAAATTAATTTTGTAATTAAACTAATTGCTTTATGTGTTTATTCTTCAATCAAGCAAATAATCGAATATCTTATTTATATAGGTACAAATGTTTTTTCTAGAATAACTGATATTTTGATTCAAAATACTATCATATCAATTAATTAAAAATTAAGGGGTCCTAATAAATAGTTAATTACTAGAATGACTCCAGTTCTAACGATGTCATAACATAACATCTAGGGCTCGTTCTCACGGCTATCCAGTTTTGCGGGATATAGTAATGCAGGTCGCAAAACTGGACTGTCGTGTAAACACACATAATGTGTGTTTGAAATTCTAATTACAAATTCGAACGGATTGGTTCTTTGCGGGACACTGCAAAACGGGATGTTCGTGTGAACAAGCCTTTATGTCATAGGTAAATAAATAAATGAAATAATAAGGCTGAGTTTCACCACCTAACTTTAATAGTAGTGACGATAACCGGTGCTCAGATTTTTGACGTTTGATAAAGTTAAAGTAAGATGGTGCAAGTTGCAACTCAGCCTATTTGTTTGTTATTTTTGATTAAATTAATAACAATTATGCCTTAAACAAAATTATTATTAATTACCTCCTTGGGGGAGGCCTTTGTCCAGCAGTGGACGTCATTTGACTGAAATGAACGAACGAACGATGCCTTAAATAATATTTATTGCATTCCATAAAAAAAAACCTATAACAGCCTTTACTTCTACTGAAATAACCCTCCTTCTGGCGCAGTCGGGTAAAAAAGGACACAATGTATATTTACCATTATTCCCATACAAATATTTATCTCAGCTCACATTGAACAATGCGGAAAGTACTTATAAAACAATATTGCATGCTCCGAAGCCTTTCAAAAACGAAATTAGAGGCTAAAATCATAATAAGGACCCCATGTGGAGACCCATTCAGTTCGCCACATTACTTATTATATTTTAACACATGGTCTACCCAATAATAACATGGTTAGGGTATAACAAACGTTGGAACAGTATGTTCACTCTCTCAAAATTATGGGGAAAAAATGTTGTTGTATCTCCAGTTATCCGCTTTACAAATCCTCCTATGTTCTTCTGATTAATTTCGTTGCGGGTCCAGTGACAGTTTAACTTTCCCCCGGGACAAACTTGACCTTCCCTGGTTGGGTTATTGGCGGTCAAGCTGTAGATCCTGGCTACATAGGAGTTGCAGAGGTGGGAAAGAGAGGTGAATAGCCCAGTGCCGGCAGAGCAGAATCAGTCTCCCCACTCTTCACACCCTTGGAAGAGGCGACTACAGAACAAATAGGTGTAATATAAGTTCTTCATTTACCTTTATAAATTGCTTATANAAATTTTTGAACTGTTTTAATATGTCGGAGACAAGTCGCCGCGGAACTGCGTATACCATTGACAATATACTTGGACATACGGACCGACAATCAGGTATGTTTTATAGTGGTTTATTAACAATATTATTTGTTCGTTACTTAACACTAACTTGACGCTGAACTAACTTTAAATTCTTTTTTGCTTGAATGAGTTTTCCACATCAATGTATCTTTAAAAAGTATCTAGTTTATTATGAGGTAGACAAACACTGATTTTGACAAAAAAACATTGCTTACCTAAATGGTAAGTATACTTAACAATGAAGTACCTAAAGTTTTTTAATATAAAACAAATACATACTATCAATACCTTTCACTGGTTGGAATTGATATCGAAATAGGTAGTTAAAAAAAAGCAGAAATGATTTTTATCAAATGAAAACTACTGTATTTGGGCAGTGGCTAAATAACTACTTATCGTTAACTATCTACGAGGTTTATTTCGATGGCAAAAGAAGTTTCGAAGCTAGTTGGCGCCAAATCGTCTGAAGACGTCTTGCCTCCGCAAAATTTATGCGAGATTTCTGACAGCTTCTTGATGTGAGAGTAAAAATGTAAAGGAAAATAGTTATTCAACATTTATTTACTCGTAACTTAGCCTGATGTATGTAGCCTATTGTATTACTATTGACAAATTAAGAAAAAAAGCTTTATTTGTACTTTTTAGTAACGATTCATAAACCATTGTAGGGTTATAGTTAGATCATTCGTTTCATCAACGGTTCAAATCAAAGATCAATTACCACTTTCTTAATAACATAAAAGTATTTTAGACATCAATTTGTATTTTGTTGGTTTGTGTTAAAATAAATGATGAAATTGCTATAAAAAGACATTAATTTTGATGCATTACTAAAATTATAATCTTGTGGCTTCATTAATTAAGTAGGTATTAATTAAAATCCGGTGGATATACTCGTAATAAAAGTCGATCAGAGAGCAGTTTTTCATGTGTGAATTAAAAAATATTCCTGTGCGTTATTTTTATTTATGGTAGTTTAAGAACTTCTAATAAAATA